ATAAGAATCGTCACTCAAGGCTTGCTTTTCTCATCTAAAAATCTTTATAGATGTTTTATCACTGTAACTGCAATCTACAGAAAGAAAAATAATTACTAAAGCCGGGCGTACACTGTGCGACTTTTTCACTCGCAGCGTTCAGCTTCAGCTCAAACTGTACGACTTCCTCGCAGAGCAGATCTCACGAGTCGTGTGCTCACACTGTATGACCCAGTTCTCGCATGCAACCTGACTGCTCACACTGTACGTCTGGTAGCAACACGTCGGCCCTAAAAATGTGCTAAAAATAGCAGTTTTTAATCAACACGTCAGACTTTTTTGTTTTGCCTTTTGTCCTTCGGGAGTGCTGCAGGAGGACACACAGGGACTTATGGGGGTTGGATGAGGAAAACGAAATAAAGAGAGTAAATCTGAGTTTTGTGATCAGTTTAATTTGACATGAACACGACAAACACGCTTTCTTGACAATCTTTGTGAGTAAAAAAAAACGTGTGGAAACAAAAACGAACAGCGTGTGTTATTAGGGAAATAGCGAGCGACCGGCCGGCGTTGATGCAGGATTGCGCGCGCATGTGCCGTGAGCGGTTCTGATACTTTTTGGATCGTAGCTGCTCGCAGCGCTGCTGCGATACCCTCACTAGGGACGAGCGAAATATTAAACACACCAGAAGTCCCTGCGACTTTTTTTTTAACAGTTCTAATCTCCATCATGATTCATCTGTTGCTGGTCGAGGGCCTCTTGCAGTTGCAGCGCCTCAAGCTGCTGCTCAAGCTGCTGGAACTGCATGGTGTGCTGCTGCATCATCTGACCTGGACCCCTCTGCTGCAGAGAGAGAATGAGATGTCCAGTTTCAGTACAGATGGGTCCAGCCCAGGACAGAACACAGAGGAACCCCGTCAGAGACCAAAGCTCCACTTACCTGGTCCTTCGAGAGCCTTCTTATCTGTAACAGAGAGATCAATAATCAATTTTACAATCAGATACAAGATGGTGAAAACAACAACAACCACTGCAAATTATTTGTCATCAATAAAGTGTAAAGATCACTGATCATGTACTTATGAATGTCTCTGAAGTGGATGATCAACCTCGCCACCAGTGACAGATACTCCTCCTGAAACACACCGTTTTATTCTATTTGTGAAAACTTTAACTACGAGACTCACGACTTAGGTCATTTACTGTAGAATCATTAACATCGTAAACTTTACAAGTGTTCAAAGAACCAAGTTAGCTCTCAAGATTAACTTTGAATGAGAAGCTGGTAATTTACTAAAGAAGACACAAGAAGTTAAGCTTGGTGAAAGAAACCTGTTTATGTGGACCACTGGACAAACTAAACTGCTGCTCTTGATCAGAACAAGAATGTGGTGGTGTGATCTGGTTGTTTTATCAGTTTCATGGTGCTACTTCAGCTGATAATATCAGCTTTTGGTGTTCTAGTGGTATTTTTGTGAGGAAAAAACATTCATGCGGTCCAGAAAAACACTCAGGTGTCCATCTTGATAAATTAGTGAAGGGAAATTTCAAATGAATCCACCTGAAAGCAATTCTTTTTTTTTGTTCAAAGTCTGTTTATAAGCCTTTTTCATTTTACAGACAAAATCTAGCCATATGCATATTGTTCAAGCATATGTATATGCAACAATACAGGTAAGAGAAAAAAATGTGTCAAGAGTACAAAAAAACCAGCAATAACATAAAGACACACACACTCAGGACAACAAAACTATACTACCTGAGGTGATTGACCAATCCTCAGCCGCCAGGCTAAAGCCATCTAAACAGGATCAAACTTGAGCCACTATCTAAGCTGAACCAGAAATCCTGATTTTACCTTTATTGCCTCAATTTTTCTGCCTCAATTTTTTCTTAGAAAGTCAGGAAGGGCAGCCAAATGTCAGAATTTATTGAGCCTTGGACACAGTACCTGATTTTTTCAAGTTTTATGTATGTCTTAACCTCTTTAATCCAATGTGAATACACAGGGGGATGTCGGTCCTTCCACCTCGTCAAGATGAGACATCGGGCAAGAAATGTACAAAAAGCCAACATATTACCCTGCCTCTTATTAATCTGTATGTTCTGTGGTGTGACCCCAAATAAAGCAATAAAAGGAGATGGGTCGACTGAAACTTTCAACACCTTAGGAAAGGTTTCAAAGATTGAAAACCAGAAATTGTGCAGTTTAGGGCAAGTCCAAAACATGTGGACAAGGTCTGCAGAGTCCTGCTTACATCTGTCACATACTGGTTCCACATCTGATCTAATCTTGGATAATCTGGCTTTTGACCAGTGCAACCTATGAACAATCTTGAATTACGGCGTGCCTCTGACATTGATGAAGTGTAGATCCTATACTGTAAAACCTGATAAGTTAAGCTAACTCAAATGAATTGGGGAAACAGATTGCACAAATCGATTTAAGTTTTGTAACTCAAACTGTTTGAGTTGATTTAATTATGCGAGTAGAGTCTAATTAATTCAATACATTTATGATAAGTTAACTCAAATGGTTATGTTTATCAACTATTTTTATTTATTATAGTCAAATTAAACCTTTAAATATGTTGCACTAAAATGCCGTACATATTTTAACTTATTTAAAATACATTCCTCTTTCATAATCCAACTGAGTTAAATTAACTTGAATGGTTCTTTGTTGAATAACTAAAATCTCTATTACAGTTACTCAATTCAACTGAGGAAACCGATTGCACCAAACCTGCACCAAACCGTATTAGTAGTATTAACACAACAACAAACTCAGACTTTCTCCATTCAGTTTAATTAACTTGAACTGCAGAAACAACAGAATTAATACAACTGCACATTTTTTCCAATTTGCCAAATGCTTTTTTACACTGGGTGTACATAAAATGTTGCATGAGAATAATTCCAGTATTTTTAGTTGCCATTAACCATCATGACCTGAATTTTAATTAAGAATATCCAGATTTATTGACATGCACCTAACGAAAATGCAAACAAAGCTTAACTACAAGGATGTCATCAGCCACTATTAACACATACCATAGAGAATACGACATTAAATTTCAACGCTGTTATTGTACAACAGTTTGCTTAAAGATTAGTGTCTCCTCAACTGCTGTGGCCAAACCTCAATGGCAAAATGGAAAGATGTCATTTGACAATAAAACATAGTGATTACAAATGTCAATTTGGACTGATCATCAGTTATTTAACTTTGAAACTTACTGACATGAACCTAAATACAAATATATCATAGAGGAACAATGACAAGTGTTCATGAATATTGTAAGAATGCAATAGATGAAGTCAATATAAACATATGTAAATAAATCTTCAAAGATACTTGTGGCCTCCCAGTTTACCTTAAAAGTGTATCACAAAATCTGGGTGTTGTTATTGATGAACACCTGGCCTTTAAAGATCATGTTGCCTCTGTTGCCCGTTCATGCCGCTTTGCGCTGTACAACATATGTAAGATCAGACCATACCTAACACAACATGCCACCCAGCTCCTGGTGCAATCTACTGTCATCTCCCGCCTCGATTACTGCAATGCCCTTCTAACTGGTCTTCCAGGCTGTACTGTGAAACCTCTTCAAATGGTCCAGAACACAGCGGCGCGTCTGGTCTTCAACCAGCCAAAAAGAGCACATGTCACCCCTCTGTTCATTGAGCTCCACTGGCTACCGCTAGCAGCACGCATCAAATTCAAACTGCTAACACTAGCATACAAAGTCCGAGATGGTACGGCTCCCATCTACCTGAATCTTCTTGCAAAGGCTTACGTCTCGGCCCGGCCGCTCCGGTCATCACAGGATCGTCGGCTAGCAGGGCCTACACCACGCTCAGGACAATCCAGACTCTTCTCATGCATCGTTCCACAAATGTGGAATGACCTTCCAAGCACTACCAGAACAGGAGCTTCCTTTTCAATTTTCAAGAAACTCCTGAAGACCCTGCTCTTCAGAGAGCATCTTCTTAACTAGCACCCTCCGTGCACCCGTCCCCCTCTCTACCGTCCACTCCTTGTTCCCTCCTCTCCATGATTGAGGTCAAGTTGTTGTTATTGTTGTTGTTAGCCTCAAGGGCAGCATGGCGATTATCACTTGTAAGTCGCTTTGGACAAAAGCATCTGCTAAATACATAAATATAAATGTCAAGTATTTGAAATGTTTCTTTATTAGCTTTCTGCATATTGCTGTTTTAGAAGGCTGGGAACATGGACATATAAAACTATTGACGTGAAACCATTCAAAGATTAATGAACAAGCAAGAACATGTGAAAACAAACCCCATCTACACCAGCTCATTTTTCAGGGTCTGCAATTTTGGTTTGAGTTGCTTTCTCTCATCGTCCAGCTTCAGCAACACTACTTGAATGAACTCAAAAAAGCTACTGCACTTCACAGAATAGCTGAGATGCAGCGCATATATTAGCCCAAACAAACACACCAAAGCATCAGTCCATCTGTAATGAGTCATTACAACCTGATCTTCAAGAACAACGGACACTTGGCGTGGTGAGAAAGGAACTCCAGCAGGCACATCCTCTTCATCCACATCAGCAACCAGCGCAAGTGCAGCTTCATGGAACTCCATTTCATCCTGTCACACATCAAAGTTATTGATGAGAAATATTTGTCATAGATATAAAGGTCAACACAAATACAAATAGTCAGATAGCTTTAATTTTTTCAAATTGTATTTTTTACCACTTTTTGTCATTTCAATAGGAAAATTATTGCAATTCCCAAGTATAACATACCTTGCATGTTTTGAAAATTCCTGACGAATCCTCCTTGAGGTAAATCGGCAGGCCAGCCACGGCTGCTGTTCTTGTTGCGCAGATGTCGTTCTTGTCCTTAAAGGACAAAAAATATATAAAACATGACAAATGGGACTACCATGCAAACAGTAGAGTGAAAGTATTTTTAAGTACCTGTTGCTCACATTCCAACAACAGCTGGTCCATGTTTTCACCAACCCGTCCAGTTTTCTTCTTTTTGTAAAGTCCAGTCAGTTGAGGAGCATATTCATCCAGTGCAGCATAAAAAACATGTGGTAGATGAAGATTGGTAATCCGGTGAAATCAACACATTCTCACTCCCAGCGCGTCAAAAACAAACGCTTGGTCAGCCACGCTCCACGTCAGACCCCTGAGGCCAAAAGTGCCCTTTTTCGTTACTTATGTGCGAAAAGGGTTTTTTCCCTTATTTGACTGCAGATCCCAATGCAGCGTTACACTGACGCGATGGGATGTCCGCAGCCAGGGCACCAAACAAGCTCATTGTACCTCACCCTAACCTTATCCTCTTTTTAACCTTCCCCTCACCCCTATCCTAACCTTAACCATCTTGCTAGCGAACACGTTAGTGATGTGTCGGTCGCTCTAAAAGCCGGCTCTATGAAGTGAACGGCGGGAGGTGCCTCGTCATTGGTTGAGTTTGGACCGAGGCAACGTGAGGGGGAGGTTTCAACTACCACAGTGGAGGTTAAAAGTAGAGGGTATGTGTAACCTCCCCCTCGCCATATGGTATGTTCTAACTTTACACTTGGGCGGCAAATACGAAAACTGACAGTCAGACTCTGACTGTCAAGAATGCATGGGAAACAAACGCTTGATCACAGTGAGAGTAACGTTTTAGGTAGCAAGAGGGTGAAGGTTAGGATGAGGGAGAGGGGAAGGTTATAAATAGTGAAATGTTAAGGTTTAGGTGCGGTTAAACGAGCTGGTTCGGTGCCGCATCAGCGGATATCTCATCACGTCAGTGTAACGCTGCATTGGGATCTGCAGTTACAAAAGGGAAAAACCCATTTTCGCACATAAGTAAAGAAAAAGGACACTTTTGGAGTCTGGGGTCTGACGTGGAGGGTGGCTGACCAAGCGTTTGTTTCCGATGCTTAGGGTGTGAGAATGTGTTGGTGAAATCCACAGTAGAGCTGAAGAGAATAAACCAAAAATGATATGAAAAAAATGCTGTATACTTGATAAGCAGTAAATTTAATATAGTTGTACTTACCTGTGTCGCATTAAAGAGAGCTGGCCATCTGTCCTTAAGCTCTGATACAGGAAGAGAAGATGTAATGATCTCTTCACGTCTCAGGGAAAAAGAGTGCATCATGTGCTGATGAATGAGTGGAATGTCCCTTTCAGCAGAGGTCTTCCGGAACTCTTCTATCATCTCACCCCTCCTTTTCCCCAGAGACTCGGTTTCTCCAGGACAACTGGGAAGGAAGTTGACCTCACCTCTCCTAGGTCTTTTAATATTGGCCCTTGGTGCAGCTCCTTCTGGGTTCATTCTGCTGCGCTTTCCAGAGTTAACAGCAACACCTCTGATGCCAGCTTTGGCCAAATTATTTCTTTGGTTTCCCATTTTGTGCCTCAAACTATTCTTCCATCCTTCCCAACCAGTGTCAGAATTGTTCTCCTTCAGACGGTCACACTGACGGGCAGGAGGTTTGAACCCAAGATGCAGAACACCAGATCACTCAGACAGGAGCAGAGGTAAAGAAGTAAATTCTTTATTCTTTTAAGGTGGAGGCTTAATCCAGCGGTTAAAACACAAAAAAACTGATGTTTAAAAACAGGAGCAAGGACAGAACAGCTCAGACACAATGGACCGACAAAATAGTGAGACACAGACAGGGTTTTATACACTGGGGAGGATGAGAGGGAGATGAGCTGGTGCGTTGGGAGAGAAACCAAGTGAAAGCAATTAACTAATCAGGGAGGAAACTAACATGACCTAAGAGTAAAACCTAAAGACAAGAAGAGCAGCAAACATAACTAATATTCTAAGGGGCAGGAACATCACAAACACCGGTGGGACAAACACACTAAAGAGAGTTAATAAAATGAACAGCTGAAACTAAAGGAAAACACTACAGAAAGAAAAACTACAGGGGCGTGACTAAGGGGGACCACGGGAGCACTGGACCTGGGAGGGGGATACCTGGGGAGGGAAACCTAGAGTGCTGTAGATCTGGGGAAAAATGAGGAACACAAGGAGACACATGAGGAAGACGCAGACAAGGACACATGAGGGCGCTAGGAGACACAAAAGGAGAACCTAGAGAGGGATGGAGAACACAAGGAGACACATGAGGGGAGACGCAGATGCCGACCATAACAGAGACAGGGATGCTTTTCAACTAAAGCTTTTGCAGCCTTTCCAATCTGTGTGCTACTAGGATATGCCTTCAGTTTAAAGATTTCTTCCCCATTACCTCAAGTATGTTGTGTTTTTGATCTCTAGGAAGTCTAATTAGTTTCCCATCTTTTTCAAATGCTGCATTACCTTCCTTTAGCACATGTTCCACCTCATAAGAAAATTTTGGAACAATAAAAACCTCTGGCCACCGACTAATATGCTCTGGTGAATCTATGGCATCAGTGCTATCATTCAGAAGACTTGTCTCACTAGTGCTGGTTGAAATCAAGTCCAGCTCCACTAATATGATTACTTTAACCGATGCTGTGCTTGGGAGGTGTTCCATTTCAACCAAATTACACAATGCATGATCAAAATCTAGATCTTCAAACTGAAGCCTAAAGTCAAAAGTCAACTTTAGCCTAGTTTAGATTTAATCTATGAGGGCCTGTACACTGCTTGGGCGAGATGGCAGAATAAGTCTTTCAGCATTATCATGATCAAGGATGACCCTTAGCTTCAGTCTCTCTGTTGCCTCCATCTGAAGTCGTAGGTCCTGTAACATACAGGATTCAAATAATATAGCGACATTTCAACACACTCAAGAGTTCTCATGTCATGTATGCATTACCTGTACACTGGCAGAAGGGCTGGGGAGATCCGCTGATATTTCAGTTCTGTTTCTTTAGTCAGACACTGGAATTAAATGTTTTGTTGTTAGAATGAGTTCATTTGCAATCTTATAAGCAAAATGTGGCAGGTGGTCAGACCGCTGGCACACAGCTTTGACACTATGACTCTTCGGTATATGCTTGACTAGTTCGTATGACCTCAAGTGCTCAACATACAAAGTGTCGTAGTCTTTTAAGAGAAAATACATTTTGTTGCTGATGAGTAGGATGTTTCGAATCTCTTTGAACTCTGGCAAGGCTGCATAAGCACCAGTACATACAAACATGCCAGTTGCAAAGCTTGTGCCATAAATGGAGATGTTTTTTGTTCCATAAACTGTGTCACTGTCAATAATACATGAGATTAATGATCGGGTATCTGCAGGTAGTGATGAAATGTACATAGACTCCTATGCACATGTAGTTTGAAAAACTTTGAGAATGACAAATAAAATGTCATCTGACTTTGATGTCGCTCTGCCAAAGTTTTTAACAAATTTCTGTAGTTGTGAGTGTCATGAATAATTTTTTTTGAAAACCTTATGCTTTCCCTCAAATCTCATTGTCCAAAGGTGGACCAAGGGACCAAAGCATTTTATCAAGTGCGGGTAATGCTCGATGTAATGATGCTTTGGCCTTAATCGAACATTCAGAAACACTTCTTGGAAGAGTTGCCGGTGGTCCAATATTTTACAAGCCAAGTACTGAATGGTCTCTTCATTAAAAATCTGAGACATGGCAAGCTGAACGACATCCTTTAACTCCATTAGCACTTCCCAAAACATGTCTCTTTCTGGGACTTTTGAGCCAATGAGAAGAGGCAACATTATAAGCAGGGCATTATTTTCATGAGCATTCCCACCAATGGTCCCTCGACTGGCAAAATTAGTGGGTATTGGATGAGGGCGATCAACTTTGTCAGAATGTTGGTATGGAAAGTGCAATATTGCTCGATTTAAGTCTTCTAAGGTAAAAGATTTACTGGAAAACAAACCTTTTAAGCAATGAGCTATCCCCACTGGAACAATGCCTTCAAACAGGTCGTGCAGGAGGTCAGGTGGGAAGCCTGTGACAGGATGGAAGAATGACAGATGGTCAGAAAGAACACAACTGTTTTTGACACCACAATATCCCTCACTGCCATCGCTCTGAAGCTCTCGTAAAAGATTGTCATGAAGATCTTTTGTTCTCAGCACATAATCCCCTGTAACTGCATTTTTGTCTGCATTTCTGTTTGTGTGGCATGACAAAACCTGCAGAAATGAGTAGACCTGAAGCTCTCATTGATCCCAGCAAGCCCATGTGCGGCAAGGTTATCTGCCACAACACAGTAGACAGTGCCTTTAAAGGAGACATAACATGAAAAACCCACTTTTTTATCCATTAACACAGTGTGTTTCACATTTTAAGTGTCTAAGTGAGCAAAAAGGCTTATATTATTCACTGGAGTTGCTATTTAGATATTTAATAATTAAGTTTTGGGCATAATTGTCCAACCGTTCAGTTTTTCACATTATCTATTACATCAGTAATTTATTTCGTCAGGATAACTACCAAATATGGTAATGGCCCTCGGCTAAACACAGAGCCAATCCGCCATTTTTTCTTCTCGCTAAGATTTTTTGTAGTCCTGTTGGAAAAATGCAGAATGTCTGGTTATTTTAGCCACACACAGCTCAAAACTGTTCCTCGTTTTAAGGAAGGGTGATGTGGCAGTATTTAAACCCAGGAGCTGAGGACACTACTGCTAAAAAAACACAGAAGAAAAAGTAGTGTGTGTGTGTGTGTGTGTGTGTGTGTGTGTGTGTGTGTGTGTGCGCGCGCGCGCGCGCGCGTGGTTCGTTCGTTCGTGTCTCCAGGCTAGTGGCTAAGTACTGAGGGCTTCATCTATCTAAAAGGAGTCATTTCCATCTGAATGTGGCAGCACCGGGACACAGCAGCAGAGCGGTAAGCTTCATATAACTCTAAAATGTCGACAAACTTTACTTTAGATTTACGGGCATTAGCAGCACTAAAGCGTTAGCATCCGGCTTGCTATCGCTAGCACAGTATGCTAGTAAAGTTAGCACCCAGATTAATGTGGATTTGGCTGATTTTCGTGGAATAAAACGTGATTTCTGATCAACGCCTTCATTTACACCAGATGATAACCTCCCACTGATTGTAGCAGCAGAGAGCCTGTGTGTTATTCTACGTGAGTGTGATGTAATCTTAGCATCCAGTAAATAAAGTCCCATATCAGCTAAAATGCAGCGTGACAAAGTCATTAAAGTGCGTCAACACAGTGGATTTAATACAAGTTTTAAAGAACGATCTCTGAGTGAAGTGAGGCTAGTTTTTTTCTCACTGCAGATATAAAAACTAACTGCATCAGTCAGACGCAGCAAAGCTCACCGTCTGTATGAGCGTGAGCGTCGGAAAGCTGATAAAATCAGCTGTAAAATAATTAAAACAAAAATGAAAATGCTCCTTTGCTTTTTAGAGTCCACATCCAGAAGGCTGGAGCCGTGTTTCACTGACAGGCTGTCAGACTAACGCCCTGATGAGCTCAGCTGGGACAAACTGGTCTGATGTTTAGGTAAGTGAAGATCTGCTTCTCCAAGTCCTTGAGATGCTAGTAAAAAATAATTTGGCCAGCTTGCTAATGTTACTTTAATTCTCCTCTAAGGAACACAGAACGCTCAGATGTTGGAGCTTCACATCACCTACTGAGGAAGGAGACCCACCAGTAAAGAGATGGTCTCTGGACCAGACCAAAGTGAGTGATGACACACCTCAGCCACCCTCATCATTAAGAACACCTCACCCCCTGAATCACTCCGTCTGATGACAGCAGAGTGATTTATTTGATGTTTTACTTGTTTAGTCTGTTTAGAAATTATTGAATTACATTATTTTCTGTAATCGACCATCTGATCTGGATGTGTGCAGAATAACTTTCCCCAAGTTCAGCAGCAGCTGGCCTACAAAAACAGCTGCAGCATGTAGTAAGTCTGTCTGCGCTGCTCTCTAATGAGCTTCCTTTCATAAGGAATCATTTGTATAATTTTAGTGTCACTATTTTATTACATTTGTAAGAAAATATGAAGCCACTGCAGCAAAGTGAACTTGTGAACAAAGTAAACCAAAACAACACAAACGTGACTATAAACATGAAAGCTAAAGAAACAACTTTCTTAAAGCTGCTTGTAAACAAAATATGTCATTAAAGTTATCGTCTATCATTGCAGAATATGGCGATGACATCATGGAACTGGTCTTTGGAAAAGTTTTCCCTGAACCAACTCCGTTTCTAGATGAGGTAGAGAAGACCTGCATCTCACCAACCCTCTGATCTCAGTTTTCAGACAACAGAGGTCTCCCACTGTTATCCAGGACCAGTTTGAAGCCCACATACTGCCCCTCCCTCATCATCAGGAAACATCAATCCGTATCCTGAGGACAACAGAAGACGGCAGGAGGACAGGAACTCTGAGACCTAGATACCACCAGCACCGAGACACAAAGCACCTGTGTGCACAACGCCTGTTTAACTACTAAAGCCTGTTTATTATATAGTTCTACTTATTTGCTGTGAGGTGAATACTTAGAAAATTTGTATATTAATGTAAACAATTTAAAAAATCACTGATTGTATGTTTTCTTTTAGATGTAATGGTCCAAACTCAGCCTTGTAGACATTTATTGCATCCTGTAGGTAAATACACAGAACAGGCTCAGATCCAGGATGACCCAGCATGCTCTTCTTCCATTCTGGCTGTTAGGGATTGTATCAATAACTCAATGCCTACTGATGTTTCCACCTAACGGTATTTATTTAGAATGCAGGTAAGATTTAACTATATTTGTTAGCAAAGCAGACTGATCTTGGGAATTTCACTGCAGCACTGATGTCCACCTCTCTGTACACATTAGAGAGAATTACCACTTTACAGCAAAACACACATTTAATAAAGATATAGGCTACACATTGCAGACAATTAAAAAGTTGTAAGCATTAGAATTATAATGATCACATTAAAGAACATTTGGAGGAATGTTCTTTATTTTTGACTAGAATCTCAAATCTTTTAAATGTAACTGCTTTTTATCCATTTTCAGCCATTAAGACACCCAATATAAAATAAGACTACTTATAAAATTATTTATAATTATATGTATGTATATATATATAGATAGAGATCTTAATAAAATATATTCTTTTAATGGTGTTTTAATGAGCTGTATCATTTTTTAAAACATTTTTTATAGAAATAAATAAGCAAGCAGCATTCCTTGTGTGTATGTGTGTGTGCGCGCGCGCGCGCGCGTGCCTGCTCGCTTGTCCTTCCGTCGGCTGTGACGGATGTGTGTGTGTGTGTGTGTGTGTGTGTGCGCGCGCGTGCCTGCTCGCTTGTCCTTCCGTCGGCCGTGACGGATGTGTGTGTGTGCGCACACGTGCCTGCTCGCTGTCCCTCCGTCGGCCGTGACGGGCAGAGGCGGAGCTGGCCTAAATGGCGCCCTGTGCGAGATCCCCCTGTGACCCCCCCCCCCCCCCACACACACACACACGAAAAAACATTACACCTACAACTTTGTTTCAAATTGTGTGGAGTGTATGAATAACAACGTTTGCTCACTGAATACAACATCCAGCTCCTGGCCACCTTCTCACCACTTGTCAAAGTTCTACTGAAATAGACACACTTAACGCAACATGATGGCATCATCGACTTGTACAGTACAGATGTGCTGAAAGGCGAGAGTCTCAACTTTCAGCTAAAAAAAAGACCGCTCTAGCTATTATAGTTTTTATTTTATGGCAGTTTACAGTTTAAACGGGATCATACTAGCAGGGCACCTCCAGCGGCCCGCTGCCGCTCCGTTTTTCATGGGGTAAATAATAGCTAATTTCCCGATTCCAAAAAGAAAGAATGATCCTACCAGCTCGCCACTTCAATATGAAGAACATCAGTTCAACATGGGGAAAAAAACCTGACCTGTAGGCCAGAGAAACGTTCATTAGCACGTCAAGTTCTATTCAGTTTACCGGTAAACATATCACGAATGTACAACAGGTCAATTATTAATCATCTTGGCTACGTAGCTCAATCTATGCATTCCAGTAGCATTTGCTACAAACAAATACAAAAACAACAATAAAGGAAAACAACTGTCTGACAGACAGCATAGCCGAATTCAAGGCAACACATAACAATAATCATTCGATTGCTCTTGGTTTCAAGTTAAGCCCATTAAAGTGCATAAGTAAATAAAAGTGTTTCAAAAACAGCGTTTTTGAACCGGAGTTCTGCTTGCGGTGGGAACTCCGCCGAACAAGGTCATTTTTATAGCGAAAACGATTGACTGGTCACTGACAAGTAAAAGGGTGTTATTGGTAGATGTTAAGAACACTTACCGCTGAGGAAAAATGAGAGTATAAATGAATTGAGGGGAAAAACGCTTTGTTTTCCAACGCCGTTCTACAAGCAACAAGCTTACGGCAGGAGCAGCTTTCATGGTTGCCGCGACTTGGAAGGAGCCAATCAGGAGAGGGACCTCACATCAGCTGACGTGGGTCATGTGACAGGGAGTAGTTGATATGGGCTGTGTCTCAATTCAGGGTCTGCATCCTACCTCGGCCGGATTCGTCGGCCGGTTACGTCACAGCGCCGCGACTCGGCCTGTCCCAATTCGAAGACTCCTTCAAATGCGGTCGACGAATGCGGCCTTCTTTTCGCCTGAATGAAGGATGGGTCGGCCGAGTGGGCTGGGTCCTTCGAAGGATGCAGACCCTGAATTGAGACACAGCCATGGGTTACACTTTGTTGTGCTTTTATTACAGAAATATTATTATCATCACTATTATTAAGAACATGCGATTTCTATGTTTTGTTTATGTATTGGTTGATGCTAAAAAAAATTTTTTTTAGAAAAAAAAATAGGAAATTAAATGCCGCCCCCTGCAGACTGCCGCCCTGTTCGGCTGCACATGTTGCACATATCAAGCTCCGCCACTGGTGACGGGTGTGTGTGAGTGTCTACAGACAAATGCATGAGAGAGTTAGCAGCCTTGAAACAGCTTGATGAACTACTCTCCCCACATGTTTTAAAAATGCTAATACGCTATGCTAAATTTGCTATGCTAAATAATGATTTCTCTGGCTGTGTCTCAATTCAGGGTCTGCATCCTTCGAAGGACCCAGCCCACTCGGCCGACGTGGGCTGCGTCCTCCGTCGGCCGGGTAGACCGGATGTTAACGGCTGTGAATTTGGACAGGCCTAGCCTTCATGAACTCCCTCGGCGAACGTTCCGTCGCCTAGCAACCGTGGAACCGCTGGGCAGAAGGAACTTTAAACGATGGAGCTCGACGTTTTATTTAGCTTTTTAACCCCCAGAAACCCAAATTTAGAAAACAACTGCAAAATCTTTTTTTAACCTTTCACATGTTGTTCTAGGAGGCCAGATAAACGGGCCTATTTACACATTTTAACAGCCAATAGTGTTGCAGGACTGAACAATAGGACCTATTAGCAATGTAAATGTTGTTTTAAAAAGAAAAAAAAAATGGGGAAGGTTTATTTTTGTAGACTTAAATGTGATGTTGTAATATTACAACCGTGGTTCTCTGGGGGTTAATCATTTCCTTGACTGTTGGGAAGCTAATTCAGAGAAAATACTTTAGACAAGCTGAGCCTGAGCAAAGATGTGATTATAGTTTTTAATACTTTCTAAGGGTCTTAATTTGACCAAAACCGATTTATCACCTTTTAAGACTTTTCAAGACCCAGCGGATACCCTCTAGTAAACAATTCTCATTTGTAAACCAAAATAAAATTCAAGGGTTTAATGCAGAACTGATTTTATTTAGATATTTCTTTTATATGTACATGTTTAATCTTCCTTAACCATTTTTTTCTAGCAAAGTAAAAAGCTGTCAAAGTTCTCCCTTCTCTCCTGTGCCCTCTGCTGCTCTGCCTCCCTCTGCAGCCTCATGTCTTCCCTGATCAGCTCCAGAAGCCGGTCATTGCTGGCACCTTCCCCTGGATGCCCATTTTCTCCAGAATAGTCTTAACAAACATGTAAGAAAAACAACAGGAAGAGAAAAGAGGACAACGGGTTATTCCTTTCATGTTTTCGCAGAAAAAATAAACTCAAACGAGTTTTTAAAATATGAGATGTTATTGTACCTCCATGCCACAGCCGCCGAATACTTTGCTCCGGTGATCATGTGGTCCATCTCCGTCCTAAGCTTAATAAATTCCCTGGTTTTCTCTTGTTCCTAAAATACAAACGTCTATTAAAATCAGGGGGAAACGTAGCGGGAGAAGTACGACACCGAGCGGCCGAACATACGAGCCGAGACCGCAATACAAGCACTTTTACTGTAACATTTCTAACTAAAATAACGTTCATGTATCACAAAAAGTCCTTAACCTAACAGTTTTCAAGTTTATACTGACATTTATATGCGCAATCCTCTCCGACAGCTCCCGCTTCACTGTCCGCCATTGTTTTTAAGTTTTTCTGCTGGCTGGCCCGCAAGGCATCTTGGGAAATGCTACCCATTGAAGGATACACCCGACCCATCCTTCATTCAGGCGAAAAGAAGGCCGCATTCGTCGACCGCATTTGAAGGAGTCTTCGAATTGGGACAGGCCGAGTCGCGGTGCAGTGACTAACCGGCCGACGAATCCGGCCGACGTAGGATGCAGACCCTGAATTGAGACACAGCCTCTATAGAACTACAAAGTCCTACTGGGAGAGGAGAGTACAGGTCTGCACTATGGAGGGGGGCGGAGTTTACAGCTCCTCCTCCAGTTTAAAGAGACAGTACTCAAAAACGGCTCGTTCTCAAGACTCTCCTCAGAACAGGGGTAGATGAGGGTCTGTAGAGCAACAATAATGAGGAAATCAGACCAACGAACTGCAGTTCCACTGTATTTAGACCCCAACTGAAGGATTTAGATGTAAAAAGGAATAACTTAAAAGCATGTTATGTCTCCTTTAAGGCATTCGCCAAGGGTATCAATGTAGATGCCTACTTCTTCAAGTTTTCAGATCATTTAAGAGTGGTGACATCATTTTCTTAAACCCAAACAGGCGCACATCATTAGTTGCACAGGAGAGCAAGCTGAGTGCAGTGGAGAGCAGAACGGGATTTAACTGGAAAGTTTGCCAGTGTCCAATAAACTGCAAAAACTTTATGTATTTTCTTTGAAGTACCGAGTGGGTTTGCAATTTCAAAATCATCCACATAAAGCATTATTGACAGTTTTATTCCCTCTTGTGAGAGTAGAACATTTTCCCGGTAGTAGGATCCATCACAAAATGACATGAAATGTCCAGGTATCTGAGTGGGTGTTTGTTTAACTTTTTCAAGGACTTCGTTTTTTTCAACAACATTTGCTAAGATGTAAGAATTGACACATACATGTATGTGTGCTTTGATGATTCAATTAAATACTCCACAGGCTTGACATACGGAAAGTTTGCTTCATAGAAAGATTTTCTCATCTTTGCTGTTGACAGTGGTCCATCAGATGTGATACATTTATGTAAAACATTACTATCAGAAACTGCCTGACAAATCTCATCGACCAGTTTGTCAGTATATAGACAGTGTAATGTGAGGAAGTGTGGGTTTTCTGTCACAAAGCTGGTGTTTGACCCGACTGGGTCGCTCAGAACTTTAACACACAGATTGGGACCTTTGCAGACATGAAGTCTGCGAGAGTCTGGAAGAAGCCATAACATCAGCCACCTGCAGCGTCCAGAAGACGTGTTTCCATGAGTTGTACCCAGAACAAGTCAAAACATAAAGTTTAAACTTCCTTTTCTTGTTTTGAATGTTAAAAGTTTAATCATCAATTTGCTCATTATAAATGTGTTTTAATCAAATGAATGATTATTATGCTTTGGGTAATTATAAGATATTTAATTAATCCATTCTTAATTAAATGTTAATGTTGAGAATGTTTGGTAACGACCTTCACACTCCTGCTTCTTCACACACCCAAACACGCCCACGCACATCTGCTCACAGTTAACTTCCAAACACATTTGCTGACGTAAGCTTTTCCATTATTGAACCAGTTCGTGCTTGACAACGAAAGAGAGAAGACCTGAAGAAACGCCAAAGGGGGGACAGAGCCGGTTGGCTCGTTTCTCCCCCCCCCCTCTCTCACGCTGTTCCTGCCAAGCCAGACAGAATAGCTGAATCGCAACTTCTAACGCAGACTCATCCCGAGTCTTTTGATTTCTGAGTGAACTAAACTTAACAAACGCATCGACAAAACGCTTTTCCATCGACGTGTACCGAGGGCAACTCTGGACCGGTTCCGTTCGACACCCACGTCTCCCCTGTCAGCCGCTGGTGTCATCTGGATGAACCATCACCATCCTCCACGGCCCGGATCCGAAAGAGGGTCCACAAGAGTTCGGTGAGACAGAGCACGGTGTTTAGCGTTTGATGCAGTTCTCTGATAAGACCTAAGTTTATCCAAACCATCACTTCACTCAGACACCTGTTTCTTCCTGAAGCAAAATCAGACTCACACACGCATTCATATCACAACATTCTCAATCTTCATAAATTCACCACAAGGTCTATTTGATCATATCAACTGTTAAAGATTGTCCCACAAGTTGCCAATGTTGATTGTTATTCCCATGTTTGTCAATTTCAAAATCATTAGTTTAATTTGAAGAATTAAAACGTTTAATTTCCAAACTTGCTTGTTCATTGAACTGAAACAGAGAAACACAGATATTATCGTCAGTTTATCGATGAAAACAACCTTTGAGTCTTCTTAACTATACAATTTGGTTATTAATTAATAAAATTAATATCACAAATTAAGTAACAGAGCCTAAATTAGGATTGGTACATATTAACCAAAATCAGCCATATTTACATATTTGCAGAGCCTAATTTCGTTCCACTACATATGGCTGCACCAGCATTCCATTCTGTTACAACAGTTATGCTTTTTTAGTATATCAACTACTGATTTTTTAATGAGAGGTTCTGTTAACAAAAACAAGATGATCAATGTGCTCAATGATCTCCTGTGTTGCTCTCTGGGACACATGGAGAATGCTCTGCATTTTCAAGAAAAAGCCAACTAGATTGTGCTGCAACTGTTCTTCTAAACCGTCAGTTGTACTCATTTCACTAGTGGATGCCACTTCATTTTCATCTAATGGTTCTACTGAATCAAGCTGCATAACATCCTTTTGGTCTACATTTATGACACTTTGCACAATGCCTTCATCATCATTTACTGAACTTTGGTGTTCTCGGCATTTGTGTGCATTGAATGTTGAGTATACATTGGTTTTAAAATTGCAGTCCTTGAAAGGACATGGAACAGTTTCTTTCAGTTTTAAATGTCCCCTCAGATGGATAAACATTTGCCTTTCAATAAACGGCTGCTTAAAGTTACACACAGGGCAGCAAAATCCATAATTATTAAAAGCTGGATTCGAATGGTCTTTTCTTTGTGTAGCAGTATGTATTCTTGACATACGTATGTACCTTTAATGAATTAAATGTACTAAATGTACACATGCAGGTGGTGTAGAGACAGGGTAAAGGTGAAATCGTGGAGTACTGACCATGATTAAGCCGGTAATGCTTCAGCAACATGACTTTTATTGCAGTAGAAAAACTACACAACTTGCAATTCCACATTTTGTCATAAATCAAAGGGTCCCCAATAAGATGTCAAGTGTTTTATATCACCTTCACT